GATTGTGTCCTAATAGGACACAGTACATAGTATATGCAATTATTGCCTTAAATGAACACAATCACTTATTTTGCATGAACTGAAATTATTTCAATCCTAGGAACATTATTTCTTTCTGGTTAGCAGTATATCATAAAAGCATTAGTAATAATTATGGTATGGTAACACACAACTGATACATTCTAATGCATGTTTTATAAACAGAATTAAGAATTTTGAGGCATTGTTGCCTTTTTATAGAATATCCACAAAAATAGTACAAAAACCTCTGTATTGGTAAGAAGCATTAAGGAAGCCTGGAAGGATAGTTAGAGCCCTTACAAGAGTTTTGAACATTCTACTCAGTGTTTGTTTCCCAAACAGTGTTTGTTTTGATCTTAGCAACAGAGCACTGTGTGAATTGGGTAAATTTCTGTTCTCTCCAGGTTTCTAGAGATGAAATACTGATGCAGCAAAGCAAGGCCTGGGTGCTATGATGCTGAGTGTGCCTTTTTCTGGACATGCAGTTCATAGGTGTCTTAAAATGACTGAAGAGCCCTGGATGAAGACTTAACTAAAGGCACTTCATGGGGGACTCCCAGATGGGAGGAGACACTTAAAAGATGGTTCCTGCTCCTTGCCAGATTTGTGTGTCTGTCTGCAGCTTTAAGCTGATGTGAGGCAGGGATTCCCAGTCTGAAATCCTTAGATGAATCCTAAAATTCACTGAAAGAGAAACTACAAAATATACTGAGTTGGGTACCAGGCTGGTGATATGAATAAATGAAGAAACAATTAATCATTCACTGCAAAGACATGCTTCTTTAATATAGTGTCAGAATCTGATTTCTATTCTTCACTTTGGTGAGGAGATTTGCTGTTCTAGCAATACCAAGGCTCTGAGTCCACATCAGTAACTGGAAAATCAGGACTTGGACTTACTTGAAAATACCAGAGGTCGCTTAAGGGTCCTAAACCTTCCTTGTAATCATGCAAGTAATTCCACTTGTTTCCATCTTACATTGTCATCTCACTGTACTGAGGATGCTGTCAGTTCCCACTGAATTTAAATGGCACATGAATACCTTGTAGCCCATACCAAGAAGTGGGCCTTTGCTGCTGGTGATGTGAAACACTAGCCATGGATTGCTTTGTTTAGGGGACTGAGAGTTTTTTACTGTATCCATAGAAAATATTACAAGTTTAAAACTCAGCAGAAAACCATCATTATCTGGTTTCATTCAGCAAGGCCTAAAGTAATAACTTAGTCTGTTCCACCTGTGTGTATCTGCACTGAACTGTTTATTTCCCTCTGTTGTGATTAGATTGTGCTGGCTTTGTCAGGAATCTGAAATCTGAAAAAGTGCCTTTCTGGCCCCTTGTTGTTTACCAGTGCTGAACCAGTTATGTCAAGGCAGCAGGGGAGTGAAATCTGATAGGAACATTAATGCTGGTTAGAATGGCAGTGGGTGGAACTTCTTTGAAGACTCAAGACACAGCTTACTTCCTTGGCAAACCAAACCAGTTGCCAATGTCACCCCTGCTGTGGCTGAAGGAGTAGAGTGAAAATTTATGGGGAAAGGAATAATTATCCTGCTGTATTTCTATAAACACTCTCAACAATGTTACACCCCACAAAGTCACAGTTGATAAATAATAAGCCACACAAACAGTGACTTAATATGCATTTATTAAAATCAGTTATTACCCTTTCAGTGGTAGTTTCACTTTGTTGGAAGTGGTTGCATGTTTGTATTGCTCACCTCTCAATATCTAAATGGTATTAATTGGACTCTTTTTTCAAGAGTGTGCTTCAGGGACTTGACCACTGCTTTGAGAAGCAGTGTGCCTGGGTTTAGTGACAGGCAGTGTCACAGTGGGACAACAGCCTGAACAACTGTGGGGTCCCAAAGTGCTCTGTCCACAGATCACCACTCCCACATCCCAGGATTTACAAGTATTGTGATAAATCACACAGATCCAAGTAATCACTGCTAGTACCTGAATTAACTGGGCTTAGAAAGATGGAAATGCTAAGGAGTCCTTTATGTGCAATCTCCTAGTGTAAGGAGAGCAGCTGATGGGAACACGCTTCTGCTCTCAGGTTTTGGATCTCTTGGGAGTTGTTTTCTCTAACAAAGCAAATATTTTGTGACAGAATTAGATGAAGAAAGTGCTGCATAGCAGGAAAGTGTGAAGTATTCATAATGATATTAAATAATGCTCAAAATTCAATGTTTTTCACATTGTGTTGTGAGCTTAAACATTAGATGCTTGTCACAGAAATTTCTGCTGCAGCAGACATGATTCCTGACACAAATGGGCTTGCTTTTGGTAGAAAATGGGACAGTTTCCAAACAAACAAAAAAAAAAGGCCAACTTGTGAGTAAAAATGAGCCTCATTCTGGGCGGAAAGGCTTATAAACATAAAATGATAAATAGCTTTGCAAGATTTCCATACAATAATAACCACTTCCTAATCAAAATAATGAAAAAGTTACATCTAGGGGAGGAGAGAGAAGCTCAGTTCAGGTTTTAATACATTGAAAACATGTTAGAAAATAAATATATGGAAACTGTAAATTTTGTTGCACTCTGTAATCTGAATTTGTGCTGGAGACATAGCAGTAATATTTCTTCACATATATTTATATGATGTTATAAATCAAAATCCTGTCCTGGGTCTGCTGCCTTCTGAGATTAATTTAATGGAATAATGTTGTAAGACTTATGGAAATGTAATTTTTAGGTTCCCCTAAGTGGCAGTGGCACCTGATCTTCTAGTAGTCCACAGGCTTTTAGAACTAAATATTTCTTGTGGCTTGACTCATTGGATATATATTGCTCCATAATAGCTGATGTGATGAGTGACTGATATGGTTGCTTCTCTCATGGCCTAAAAATCCTTCAAGATCTAAGTACTAAGGAATTGGGATCTCTTCCTTACACGTGCTCCAAGAAAAGTGGTGTGATGTACCCAGGAAAATGCATAATGCAAAATGCACTATTTAGTGCACATTTTCAAATCACTTGGCTGCAAAGCAGATTGTTGGCCCAAGAGGTTGTTTTGCTAAGGTAGACATTAGAAATAAGTATTTTAAAATGTTACATGGCAAGATGTTCTCTGCTATAGGAGATAAGTCCTACTTTCAGGTTCCTTGATTCTGCTTTGTAAGGCAGTGTATGTGTGAGTGGTAAAGAGAGATCACTGTGTTCAGGGTTTCACACCAGTTGTCTCTCTGCATATTAATTCCCTGGAAAAGAGTCAGGTGAAGGACACAGGATGAGTGATGTCCAAGATATGCAGCCTTGCTTCTTGGACATTCAGTTGGCTGACAGAGCTGGTCTGAGGTTAAAAAAGCCCCTAGTCACCCCTTCAGGCACTGTTATGTCAGTTGGCACCTGAGATCCAGACTTATTTTTCAAAGAACTTTTGAAAAAGTCCTTCCTGAGCACACGTGTGACTGTCACCACACAGCTCTAAAGGTGACTGCAGCACTTTCCCATCTGTGCCCTCCATTGAAGATGCAGCACATATGGTCTTTGGGCAGATGGTTCCATATAAGACAGCCATACAGCTGGGAAAAATATTCATTTTAAATAGGTGACCAGGCTTGTCTCCAGTGATACACATGTCAAAATGCTCTACCAGAGCAGGATCTGATGCTGATAACAGCTTCCTTTGATGGGAAACATTCCTGCCTCCATTGTCCAGCTTACAAACAGACATGTTCCATGCCTGATGCAAGAGAGGGGGGTTGGAAATGCTGTCACATTCCCATTGCAGAGGGGTGGCCACAAACTGTTTTTCAAGTCTGTCTTTCAGGGGTGGGAAATTAAAGATGGCTTTTGCTATGGACTTAAGTTGTCTGGTTGTACACTTGGTTGGCAGTCAGATAATTAACCATGACATAGGAATTGGATACCATAGATGTAAATCATTAACATTACTGCACACCTTTGCTTTGTGCAATAATTGGCAATTGGTGCCCATTTTAGAAACTGCTTTCTAGTCTCTTACAGTGAAGAAAACTTAGATTACCATTCTAATTGCTCATAGGCAGAATGAATGTGATTTAATAAAATAAAGTGCATTTATAGGTAGATTGTGATATGAGTATTTAATTATGCACCCATCATAACACTGATGAAGTATTGGTGCACTGAAGTGAGAGTTTACTTTTAAAGAGCAGATTTATTTTAATTTCTTTTCTCTTTCCTAAACTTTAATAACAGGATAGATTATGTTGTTTTTACCAATATTCACCTGTATTCCTTCATATTGAGTTCCAATAAGATTTCCATCATAGCAGCTGAAGCTCAGAGAAAGCTGTACCTCTTTTTTTTTGGTGAAACACTCTGATAGTTGCTCCATTTCTATGCTATGTTGAAACAGGTCTAATTAAAGAATTTTTTAATTTTTTTTTTATGTGAATTGAATGTAGAGCTAATCTATTATGGGTGGCTTTTTTTAACCTTTCATTTTGTTGTTTTTTTCAGACTATGGATACCCCGAAATACGAGCTAGTTATAGAAGCTAAGGATATGGGTGGCCTTGATGTGGGACTAACAGGCACAGCAACTGCCACCATTCTTATCGATGACAAAAATGACCATCCACCAGAATTTACCAAAAAAGAGGTAAGAATTTGCCATCTGTATTCTACACAATTGTGCATTAAATTATACTTAGCTTGTTTCTAAATAAAAAAAGATTTCTTAATGGAAGAAAATACTTGAAAACATCTTTTTAGTTCAATGTGACAAACCTTCCTGGAGCTGCTCTTTTCTTCTTTTACATTAATGAATTTGTGTGTATCATTTCCCAAACAAAATGCAACCACAAGGTAAAAATTTCTGTCAGGAGATGTCAATCAGAGAATGAAAACCTGTGAAATTATTTTGCTGCTGGTAACTTTCTCTTTTTGCTCCTGTGGGGGGAAATAGACAATTCCCTCCTGCCTTCGTTCTAGCTTAGGGCTTTTGATGGTCAGGAACATGGATGACAGCAACATGTTTCATCTTGGCTTCGGTATTTCATCTGTGAGCTAGTGTAGAGAGCTGTAATGAAAGCTTGAGTCTTAAAAGCTTTAAGTTAACCTGCAGGTGGAAATTGCAGGAAAGCTGTTTTGTTGTTATTTTTCCCTGCAAGCTGAAGAATGCTGAAAAGTCTGAAAACCCCTCCAAACCAAATCAAAAGTAATTCACTGCCTGCAGCAGAGTGTTCTAGTGCTACAGCACAGTTTCTGGTTCAAGAAAAGCACACACCAAGTTTCTTATCCTTCCCACACTGCTCCCTTCTCTCCCCTACATTTATTTTTAGTCTGTTTTTTTGTTGTCGGTTTGGGTTTGTTGTGTTATTGGGTTTTTTCCCCTCTGGTATCTGGAGAGAATTAGAGAGTGTCAAAAGTTTTACCTAATAACAACTGGTTTGGATTTTGCTGTAAAAGTTTCCTGAGGCTCTGCAGATTTTAAGGAATACTCCCAAAAAGATAAGAAGTAATCATCAGGGATGCTGACTTTAAGGTAATTTTAGAAGGAAAGGAAAGCCTATTGCTGTAAAAGGCTTGGGTTTCTCTTCAAGGTATGTTTTTAGCTTTTTAATTTTTTTTTCCTGGCCTAATTTTAGCAATTTGATAACAGATAATTCTTAATGACCTGAAAAATCTTCCATATGCCTTGCTCAGTGATATTCTTATTCCATGAACAAGGCAGAAAAATCAGTCTTTGGATGGATGGTGTCAGGCCTCTTTAGAAACGTATGATCTAGTTAAAATAAGTGTGTAGGAGGAGGGAACATGTCTATCTACTAATAGAGCTAATGCCACTGGATTTGACTTACTGCTTGAAGTAGTTAGTGTTTAAATACCAGTCAATACACGTTGCAAGGCTTGAAAGACCTATTCCAAAAGATAACTTCTGAAGTACAAAGTTCAAAATCGGTAAATCAGAAGGTTTGATTTCAGAGTGCATCTTCTTTTATTTATTTTGAGATTGGCTGCTTTAGGATTGTGTTTTTACAAGGTTTAGACTAGACATTAGGAAGAACTTTTTCACTGAAAGGGTTGTCAGACACTGGAACAGGCTGCTCAGGGAGGTGGGCGAGTCACCATCTCTGGAGGTGTTTAAAAGTCATCTAGATGTAGCACTTGGGAAATGGACTTGTGAGAGTAGAGTTAATGGTTGAACTTGATGATCTTGAAGGTTTTTTCCAACCTAAGTGATTCTCTGATTCTATGATCAGGAGAATAAGATTTGGGAAATAAATTATTTTTTTTGCAAATTAGATTTTAGGAATATATGATCCTAGAAATGAATTTTGTAGTTAAAGAAAGAAGCTTGCCTCCCGTGAGCAGAATGAAATTGGTGTGATTCGACAAAATATGACAACAGTGAAATCTGAGATATACTGGTTCTGTGACTTGAAAATGAAAATATGATTTGCTTACATTTTGAATACCTACTGATGAATGGTTTATAAAAGAGTAATAAATGGCTAGTGTGTGCTTTAATAAATGATTCATCAGTTCCTATAGAGACCTGCAAGTGAATAGGCTGCCTGTCACCATGATTTATGATGACTTCCAGCACTGTCTTCTGACACCCACTGGGGTAAAACAGCCCCTGGAGTATGATATGTATGTCTGTCTGCTCATGGTTCAAATAGGATCTAAGACTCAGAGCACCATCTGGAGAGAGAGATTTTTCAGCTCAGGCTGTTAAGAAACACGCTTGTAGCTTTGAGAGTCCCTGTCTTGATTGTTGATATTGCCTAAATCATAACGAGAACCAAATACTGAGCTAAAAGCACTTTTAGGTTTCCTCCTGGATCTGTTTTCCATGCTACTTTTACAAAGAATTCTCTCTTGGACATAAAATTGATCTTTTCTGTGCTAGACATACCTTATCAACACAGACCATATCTGTCCACTACTTGTGCATTTAAAAACAACAACAAATTTCACCTCTTCTTCTTCTATGGTCTGGAAGTCATTCCTGATCCTTATCTTGTTTTAAAGGGAAAATATTGCCCTTTGGAACTCCTACTTGATCTTTCTCCTTTCTATGTGTGTCTTGCCAGAGACCCGGACCCTGCCTTTGGACACTAGCAATTCTGTCAATGTTAATTCTGCAACTCCCTTCTCTAGACTCTTGTCTTATTTGGAGAAATCACTAATGAGGACTGTAGTTGTGTGCAAAACTGAGCAAAAGAGGGTTGTTCTTCAACTGACACACAGTTCAGGAGCACGGCCAGGGTACCAGCCCTCTTTCACTTTCTTGTTGGGAAGGGTGTCAGTGTGTAAACCAGGCTGAACAGAGGCAAAGGCAGCAGGAGCTGCCAGTCTGGCTCGGCAAGGTGGTGGGAACAAGCTGAGTTGGCTTTTTCCTGTTTCACATACCACTCTCTCATGCTGGATGTTGGTTGGCAAGACACAGCTGAGGTACCTGAGCAGCAACAAACAGAACTGAACAGATGAGAAGCCATTGCCAGGCTAATAGTTAAGAACCAGAGCTGTACTATGGCCTAAATGCTGTGGGAGCCAATCTTAAATAGAACAAACTCTCTCCATTACTGCTTTGTTGCTAGAAATAGTTTTGTGAAAGGGATAAAAGAATTTTAGGAGAATCATATGAACAAAATGCATGATAGAATTTCCATTTTACTCCCATTTTTTGACTGGGAGACAATTCACATGCAGAGAAAGGAAATTCATATAGGAACTCAAAAGAGCAGGACAAAGCAGCCTCTGTAATTGTTAGTAACCTTTGTGATGGCTTGGGATCATCAGAGATGAGCTCTTTGGCCATCCTTGTTTTTTTCTGGAGCTGTAAATACAGCTAGCAAGGCTCCTGAAGCCTGTCTTACCCTTCAGAAACTTCCTAGATTAGATAAATATTTGCCCTGACCTTTCATTAGATAAATATTTGCCCTGACCTTTTCACCCAGCTTTACTTTTGCTTCCCACTCTTGTAGCAATTCACTAACACACTTGACATATCTGAAACTCCAGGTGCCCAAAAGCTGCCTTGAAAACAACTGAAAGACATTGCCTGGTGTATTTTTCATCTGTGAAAGGCAAAATTCAAAGGTAATTTCTTTGGTCATGAAAAGTAGAGGAGAAGGGATCAAGGCAGGATTGCTATTCCTATGTCAACCTTGTAAGGTATCTGTACCACCTATTCTTAAAACATCCAGAGATCAACAGTCAAAAGACTTCTCAGTGTGTTCCAAATCACATCTTAACAATGAAAATTTCTGTGTAGCCTGATCTAAACTTCTAGTGCTAGAACTTAAAATCATTACATCTTCTATTACCCTCATAGATACAGAGCACAGATTATGCCCTTGATATTTTTTTTATTCTTTTATAGTCAGGACCATGCAGGAAGAAGACAGCTTTGCATATGTGTCATGGTTATCTATTTCATTATTGAAATAAATAAGCTTTGTCTTTAACCTCATGTGATAGTCATGTTTGTTTCCCCACAAGTCTTAAGCCAGCAGTTTTGGTGAAAACAGATGAGGTCAAGTTGTCCAGTAACTGATTCATGATCTCTCATGTTAACCTGAGGCAGAGGTAGCTGTGTATGTGCTTCTACTAGAGTCCATTTGCAAAGTATCTATTAATTTAGTTTAGAGCATCTATTAGTCAAATAAAAAGCTATTTATTAAATCCATGTGAAAGGAAATAATGATCTAAATAATGATAAATATTTTATTTTCTAAATTATGATGATAAGCATTCTGCTCTCACTGCAAAAATAACACAGTATTTTACATTTTTAGTAAGGTTCTAACTGTACCATGTTAGATGTCAAAGATAAAAAACAAAAGCTTGTTTGACTTAAAAAATAGATGTAAAGTCATCTAATTCCCACTGGATTTTAAAAAGCTGGTTGTAGGAGCATAGGTTGCTTTGTCTCTCGGTGTAATTAGGATCCCAAATGTCTCTCTCCTAAACCTAAACACTGTCAAAAAGCTTGGAAAAATGCTTGTGATCAAGAGGAGTGTTTGTTCATATTTCTGAGTTGTGCTGAGGTGGTACCAAATTAAGGACGTCTAGAAGACTTATTTAAACAGTCTTGCAATCTGGACAATGAAATCACCTTTCTGTTATTTTCTTTTTCTTCAGTATTGTGCATCAGTTCTTATCAAAATTAGCTGGTTTGAGATTTCTCATGTGGTGAGAAATGCTCAGCACCACTCAGGATTGAATTACCAATGATCCTAAAAGCAAACACGCTGCTGTAACTTTGCACATAAGAATGAAGTAATTTTAGAGAGAGAGGAAAATATGTTCATTCTGTGCATTGACTGAAAGAGAGGACTGTTCAGCAAAAAGCAGGGTTTGGAAGACCAACGTTCCCTGTACTCATCCAGATTCCTACTCTGTGGGTAATTTGTATTCGTGCAGCTTTCAGCAATCTATCTGCATAACCAGTGTAAGCACTTTGTTCAAGAACTTTTGCAAAAGATGTTTAATACTGAGTCCATCCACTTATCACGTAATTAGAGCTGGATACACTGCATAGCAGTAGGCAGCAGGCTTCTACATTTATCTTTGCTTCTGAGGGGTGAGTTCATTGCTTTGTTTCTCTCCACCAAGGTCATGAAATACATGAAGTTGTGTATTTAATCT